CAGACGCTATACTTTTTGATAGCCGGGCACCATCAGCTTTCTTAGCCACATTTGCTTATGCTCCCATTTGTCTTCAGTGATCCGTTCGACACCTCGTGATCACACAGGCTGATAGGTTGTTCCATGTGGGCTTTGTTGCTTCTGAGCTAGATAGCCGGCCAGGTCTTTGCATATTTTGTTATAATACTCTGTTTTCTTGAGCTTCCCTTTGAAAACTTCTGTTCAGCAACTTTTACTTCACTAGTTCTTCTATCTACTTAAGCTACCTTATATTCAAGAGCAAAGTTCAGAGCAAATGTTTGTTTTAGCAAGGTTATATCTAAACCTTTTTTTTTTTGCAAAAGAACCCCTGCACTCTACAGTTTTGCAAACCACATCTCCCTTGCGCATGAGTTTCCTATGCACACTATGTGTGCTATATGCATATGGGCATTGTTTATGTGGGTACATTATAGCCAAAAATGTGGTATGTAATTTATAACCCAAACTCACCACCACTGACTCAATTCTGAGGCATAGCAACCTTATATAAAGCTTGTGAAACTATGAATCTCTATGGGAGCAGTCAGCATCATCTTTCTCCCAAATTGCCACTAGTGGGTTTGAACCACTGACCTCATGATTAATAACCCAACCTCTAAACACAGTGCTATCAGTGCTTCTTATGTAGTATATCATGTACCCTTATATGCATAACAAAAAAATCCACTGCCCTTGTTTATTCTGACACACAGTAGCCCCTAGGACAAAGTAGAACTGTTGAGGGTGTCTAAAGGCTATAAGCGTTAAGAAAGCAGATTGCCACATCTTTCACCTATGGGGTGCTTGATGGCCTCAAACCATCGACCTTTGGTTAGCAGCTGTGCACTTTAACCACTGCAGCCATCAGAGCTGCTTCTTTCTACGTATAAAAAACATTAGACACTTCCAGATCTACTAAAGCATCTCTAACATATTAAAACAATAGTAATAATGTTTTGATGAGCCTGTGGCAAAGTAATTAGTGCCCATTTGTTATTACGAACCTTTGTATGTAGCTTAGATTTTTAATACTTGTATATATGAGAATTAAACTGCCTTCCATTCAAGCCAGACATCAAAGAAAGTTATAGAACATGAAACATTACCCCTTTCTCATACAGTGCGTGTTCCGTTGTAGAATACAAATGTGGTTCTGTAATAGAGTTATTGTTATTTTAAGTAAATCAATACGTATTTTTTCAGTGTTTCCGTTTCAGTTTCTAAGATGGTAAATATTGAAAGATATAACCCACATAAACAAAAGCTTTGTGAGGTCCTCAATTTCTAAGTTTGAAGGGATCATGAGCCCAAAAAGGGATGAGAGGCACTGCCCATGGTCTCCTCTCCGTACCTAGAGGTGGCTCGCTGTCTCCCACGTGCATGTTCTAACCAGCGGAGGACAAGTTTTTTGTTTCGTTTTAAGGAATATATTATTGTCACTTGCCTACTTATTCATCCCCAGAATGTAGGCAGCAGTTACATGGCCACAAGTAATGTTTCTCCTGATGACCAAGAGTTCAGCCCAAACCTGTATTACTGTAGGAGAAATAGGAGCAGGTCCTAGAATTTGTGTCTGCCAATGGCTGGTAGCTGGATTAAAACCAAAAGTAAAAGTACTGTTAACTGCTTTTCTTCTGGTCCATTGCAGTTTATATTGTTTCCTCCTTCCCCTTCCTAGCCCAGTAATTCAAGGGATTTTAGGGACTTTGTTTTTGTTGGATGCCTTCGAGTCAGTTCCGGCCCATAGTGACCCTGTGCACAGCAGAATGAAACACTGCCCAGTCCTGCTTCGTCCTCACAATTGTTGTAGCCACCATGTGTCAGTCCATCTCCTTGGGGGCCTTCCTCTTCTTCACTGCCGCTCCACTTTACCAAGCAGGACGTCCTCCAGAGAGACTGGTCTCTCCTGACAACACGTCCAAAGTCTGTGAGATGAAGTCTCACCATCCTCGCCTCTGAGGAGTGCTCTGGCCTTACTTCTTCCCAGACAGATAGGTTTGTTCTTTGAGCAAGTCCATGGTGCGTTCAGTATTCTTCTCCAGCACCACCATTCAAGCGCATTGATTCTTCTTTGGTCTTCCTCATTCACATGTTCAATTTTAAGGATGCCAGATCTGAAACCCAGATTCTGTATAACATGTAAGGCAGAGTAGTATCATACAGGAAAGTTATTATGAGCTTTGGAATCAACCTGTTTAGGATTCAAATCCCAGTGCAGCTGTGACTTACTGTGTGAATGGCGATAACTGCCCTGAGCTTCTCTACCCTTGTTTTCTAAAGTGGGTCTGGGATGGCACACCTCACAGGGTCATTGTGGGCTCGTTGAGGTAATGTAATGCATGCGAAACGTTTGTTCCATGGAGACTGTTCAAAAAACGTAGTTCCTTATCTCTTACCCTTTTTTCTTTCTGTCTCACCGTAGCAGGCTGCTCAAGTTCAAGGGTATGTTTTAACGACAGCTCCAGGGCCATGTAATTAATGGCTGACAGATGATGTAGAAGATTATTGTTATAAATTCAGAAATGAGTGAGATCACTGTAGACTAAAAGGATTCTTAGGATCTGAACCTTGAGCGGGATTTGCAGGGGGTGGGAACAATGGGAAAAACCGAAAAAAAAAGGAAAGAAAAAGCCCAAAAAAAAACCAAAAACCCCAAAGCAAGGAACGGTCTAAGCTGCTTGGGTGAAGGGATCCACTTGTTTTTAGCAACAGTCAAGTGAGTAAGAGTAATGGGAACTAGTGGGAAGGTCCCAGGAGTAGATCAAATCAAATTACAGCATTTAATATTAGTACAAGTATGTGTTTTGTTGAACACATGTCAAATATCAAAAACTTGAACTCACTGCCATCCAGTCAATTGACTCACGGCGACTTAGTTATTCTATATTTCAATTTTTTCTGACCTTAAATTCGGCACTTAATTGGGTGATATGGGTAAATTAAGACAGCTTCTTAATATGAAAAAATAATAATAATTTATAAATTATCAAGGATTCATGAGGAAGGGAGGGAGGGGAAAATATGAGCTGATACCACAGGCTCAAATAGAAAGAAAATGTTTTGAAAATGATGATGCCAACAAATGTAGAAATGTGCTGGACACATTGGATGGATGGATGGATTGTGATAAGAGCTGTATGAGCCCCCAATAAGATGATTTTTTTAAAAGTCTTCTTGGAGGCTCTGTTCTAAAGGAAAACTTTTGAGACCTTATACAAAAGTTTCTAACCGATGGTATACAGGCTAGGTGTTAGGAGTTTAAAGAGAGGGAGCTGTCTGGCAAAGGGAGTCAGAGGCTGTGGTGAATTTGTACTTTTGTGAGTTTCATTTATGCTTGCTCACAATGAGAATATCCACTACAGCAACCGCAGATGGTCGTCTAGGATTAAAAGTCGATCTTGACAAGACAGTCTTCTTGTGGCATAGATACAATTTATATTGTGGAGAAACCCTTGAGATGGTTTTGGCATCTGTGAGTTTCATAAGAGGGCACTTTTAAAGCCATGCACGTCATCCTGAAATTTGGGAGAGATGAAACACTGATAATGTTACAAGAATAGTAAACGGTATAATAGATCTGATAATATGAACTTGAATTGTATGTTTACAAAAAATCTGTCTTATAAATGATAATAAATATTATAATTATTACCTTTTTCATTTATCTTCTTGGGGTAGACTTCAAAAAGTTTGTGGAAAAATATCATCTTTTCATATCATTTTTCCACGAACTTTTGTCCCCCCCCCAAAACTTTTTAAAAGCCACACATTAATACCGTATATATTCATGTATAAGCCGAGTTTTCCAGCACATTTTTATGCCGTTTTTGTGGTAAAATTAGGTGCCTCGGCTGATATTCGGGCCGGCTTATAATCGAGTATATACGGTAATTTGTTTACTAATTTAGAAATGTAACTGTCATTGATGCTTTTGCTTTAGTACAGTAAAAGTTAGTTATTTTTATTGTTTATTTTATTTTGCAATAAGCCAAAGCAGCCTGTAATGAAGGTTAGCCTAGTTTTCTGTAAAGTTTGCTTTTGCAAAGAATGTTAAATTTTGTTCTATAATGATGCAAATATTTTTAAAATTTTAGTAACTAAATTTGAAGAGAAAAGACTTCTCAGGCATTTCTTAGAAAAATAAGCTCTTGAATTTTTCCCCCCATCATTTAGGTCAAAGTTGGAAATTGCAATACTCCTAAACCAAGCTTCTTCGATTTTGAAGGAAAGCAAAAATGGTAAGAAATTCTTGGTATTTCTAATGAGATTATTGGAAGTGATTTTGATGTTTAGGAATTAGAAATTAGTGAGCAGATTAAAGAATGATTTTATATTAATAGCTTTCTGCTGTAGACTGCTGTATGTCAGGTAATTGAGAGAGAGATTAAAAGTATTTAACTAAATCTCCTAAAGGGTTCTTATGCCACAAAGTCATAACATACCATATATACTCGTGTATAAGTTGAGTTTTTCAGCACATTTTTATGCAGTTTTTGTGGTAAAATTAGGTACCTCGGCTGATATTCAGGGTGGCTTATACTTGAGTGTATATGGTAGGGTTTTTTTCTTTTTTTAAAAGTTTTATTAGCACTTCATATATCATACAATTCAATAATTCAATCCTATCAAGAAGATAGTTACCATATTCAATTCTAGACATTTTCTTCTACCTTGGACTCATTCATGTACCGTATATACTTGTGTATAAGTTGAGTTTTTCAACATATTCTTATGCAGTTTTTGTGGTAAAATTAGGTGTCTCAATTTTTAAAAAAAAAAATTAGGTGCCTTGACTGATATTCGGGTCGGCTTAGACTCGAGTATATATGGTAATTGTATATTTTTCTAATTGTGGCAAAAATATGCACAGAACATTCTCCAATTCTACAACTTCTACGTATATAATTCAGTGGCACTGATTATTCTTTCATGTTATACAACCATTATTGATAGCCTTTTCCAAATTATGCCACCACCATGACACAGACTCAGTGTCTCCCAAGCAGCAACTATTTCTCCTTCCCCCATGGTAACCACTGGTCAAGTTTAGTTTCTTTCTGTTTTTTCAAGTGGTTTTCTTGATATATAGTATTCATATATCATTCACTTCTAAGGTTAAGTCGTTTTTAAAATATGTAATCACAGTCCGTTCTAGTGCTCCCTCTCCTCTCCCCAATTCATTGTTTGTTCCCAAACCCCTCACTCTCTCCACCTCCTCCCCCACTGCAACATCCCTGACAAACTATTGTATCAGTTAGTATTCCTATGCGTCTGCTCCTCTGTGTGCTTTACAAACTGGGAAACCCAACAAAAAGAATGAAAAACAAAACAAAATAAAATGGCAAGAAGAAAATAATAATAAAATATGAATATAAAAATACAAGTAAAGAATAAAAAGAAAAGACCACCATCAACATTTAAAAGGCCAGAGAAGAAATATCTGCCCTGGAACAGGTGTGAAATACTTCAGCCTAGAGAAATTCAGGTTGGGCCAAGAGGGAGAGCAGCTGACCAAGTATCTTATGGTTTGAATCACCATAATCAAATTTACAATAATATCTGTCTGATAGTAAAGCTGTTTTAAGTCCTTTGCTGTGGCTACGGGGGATCTACCAGAGGCTTAATCTGACTAGATCCTCTACAGATGGATTTTGGCCTCCCACGGTCCTCCGTAGCCTTCTACAAATTGGATGTTCACAGTTTAAGCTCTGATACTTTTCCCTTTGTCATATTGGATTTTGTCATTGTCATCTTTGGATCACACAAGCTGGTGTGCTTCCTCCATGTGGACTTAATTGACTCCTCACTTAGATGGCTACTTGTTTGAAAACAGGCCTTTAAGACCCCAGACACTATTCTGATTAATATCTGGGCACCATCTGCTTTCTTCATCACCCTTTGCTGTAGCACCCTCATCTTCAATGATCATATCATGCAGGTGAGTGTGGAGCAGGGCCATGTTATCAGAACTAACTGGATTGGGGCTAGAGTTAGAGGGGGCCCAGAATCCATCTGCCTGTCCCTGGGTTATGAACAGCAACAACAAAACAAGAACAAATAGGCAAAAGGCAGACAAAGAAGTAAGACAGGTAAACATTCACAATCTTCTCCTTAGGAAATAAGACAATTGCATTTATAATATCAACAGTTTTTTCAATGACACTGTTGACACGAGTCTATGCGAGTACAGTCCAACTGTGAGCCACAGCCCATGCATTGTTGGGTCTACTTGTTTTAAATTTGTAAAATTTTAGAGCTTTGCCAGTTTTTTTTGTGCCTTGCCTGTTTGTTATTTTTTTGGAAAGCACCATACAAAAAAAAAACAACAACAAGCAAACTCACTGCCATTGAGTCAATGCTGAATCACAGCCACCTTCCAGGACAGGGTAGAACTGCCTCTGTGTGTTTCCGAGACTGTCACTCTTGAGGGGAGTAGAAAGCCCCATCTTTCTTCCTTGGAGGGGTGGTGGTTTAGAACCGTAGACCTTGTGGTTAGCAGCCCAATGCATAACAACTATGCTACCAGGGCTTCTATGGCATGATGGCACCAGAGTTACCATTATTTTGTCCTGTGCCGTACTTATTTCTACATTATTTTTAAGAAAGTACCATATTGATAATTACTTGAGACAAGAGTAATCAATGTCTGTTAAAACCGCTAGATGGAAAAATATTGGGAACAATATTTATACAGTTTACTTACTAATTACAAAGATGATGGTGAGACAAGCACATCATGTGACCCTGATTGTGATGCATTATAAAGGTCATGTGTATATTGCTCTTAAAAAAATATGTAGCTTCATTTTAATCATGATGAACCATTTTTGGAAAGACACTACCTAGGTGCAAAACCAGTCACAAATCCAAAAGAGGGATATTAGGTAAAACAACTGGTTTTCTGTTTTGGAAGAGTTCACTGTCATGGAACAAAATCAGAAATTCAATGCTATGTGTGAATCTTGATTAGTTTATGGTCTGGGCGAAGCAAGCTGTAAAGGACATTATTGGACAGTAATAGAGAAATCTGAATACAAACTATGTATTAGATAATACTTATCCCACATTTCCTGAGTTTGATACATGGCCATATATGTATTACTTCCATATATATCAGCACGTGTGTATAATATACAATTAAAGAGTTATATACAAGTATCTCAAAAAGATTTAGTAAGAATGAGGTTAGAAAACTAAAGAAAGGCTGCTATATTCATCACAGGAACAGAAAAGTGGTGGAAAACGTATGGGACTGAGTTCTGTTATACAGTGGATCAGGGAACTAAAGATACTGGTTTGGAAGTAGGAAGACGTGGCCCGGAGAACTCAAATAGGAGCCTATTTTAGCAGCTTATAGAAGAAAAGAAAGGGTTTAGAAGGAAGCTCACAACTAAAATACTTGTCTGGAAAGTCCCCACCATTTTACTCGGTATTCTGACTTCATCCGTACTGCTCCTCACTTTTGAAACCCCTGCCCTGGCCTCAAGATTCACTCCTTGCAACTGACTCATGAGGGAGGTGAAGAAGGGGAAGGTGTCTTTCTTGGACCTTAAGTAAGAAATCTTGCAGCATTTTCCCAGGGAATATGAGGGAGTTTCAAAAAGTTCATGGAAAAATTCCATTATCTTTTAATTCCATTTTTCCACAGATATTTTGAAGCCCCCTCATATTTTGTGTAGTGATTAGTTTTTATACTACTGATGCTGCTGTTGATAGCTATCTAGTTGACTCATGCTCATGGTGATCCCATCTGTGCAGAGCAGAATTGTTTCATAAGGTTTTAAGACTGTGCCTTTCTGCAAGTGAATTAGCAGACCCAACCTCCAAAGTGCCTCTGGGTGATTTCTAACTGCCAACCTTACGGCTCTTAGTTGAGCATTTAACTGTTCGTACCACCCGGGGATTACTGATTCCATAAGCACTGGTACTTTAGAAGATGAGAACTACCTCTATTGGTTTATAGAGTATGCATTCTTAGCAGGGAGAAAAATTGTTTTGGGAATGGGGTGTAAATCTTACACGTTAAGATGGTTTATAGGTAGATAGGTGTCTATTATCTAATCTGCTCTAACTCATGACAGCCTTAACATTCAAGAGAACAAAATGCTGTCTGGTGGTCCACTGTTAGTCTGTTATTTTCCTTGTTCTTCTCACCAGCAGTCGATCCCTTTTGATAATGTGTCCGAAGCAAGCTAGCCAGGTTGTTCTTTTATGATCCATAGGTTTTCATTGGCTAAGTTTCGGAAGTAGAGCACCAGACCTTTCTTCCTAATCTTAGTCTGGAAGCTCCCCTAAAACCTATCCACCATAGGTGACCCCGCTGGCATTTGAAATACTGTGACTTAGCTTCCAGTATCATAGCAGCACACAAGCCACCACATCGAACTGACAACAAACTCACAGGTGGGTGGACAGAATCTATCAGAGACACAGCTAATATTTCATGGAAGCAGGTGATGACAAAAAATCTCCAAAAAGATGTTTAGGTAGAGCAAAACGAAGGTGGGGAAACTGCTGTGGGCCAGCGTAGATGCAAAAATATGAGGCTGTCTGCTCCTGTAGAGATTTACACTCTGGGAAACCCGAAGAAACAGCACCACTCTGTCCTGCAGGGTTGTTGTGAGTCCGAATCAGGTGATGAGGTTTTATTTTACTCATCTATGGCGTCTTTCAAGATCTCCAGACCCTTAAGATGTGCATGTAAATTCTTATTTATTAATAAAAAGCATGTTGCTTTTTCGCTACATAGTTTATAACAGGTCATGTTGGATATTCTGTGCCATAGGGAAGCCTGGAAAGCTCTTGGTGATTCAAGCCCCAGCCAAGCAATGCAGGAATATATCGCAGTAGTTAAGAAATTAGATCCGGGTTGGAATCCTCAGGTAAGACTTAATGATTGTAAATCATACTTTCTGAAAACATAATACCTTTCACATTTTTAAAAGTAAGCTTAGGAAAAGTGATATTCCCAAAGTTTTGTTTTTCTCAAGTCAAAAGGCTATGAAATTAACGTATTTCTAATCTATCCAAGAACACCCTTGTGTGTGTATTAAAAGAACCAGCCACTAATACTGAAGACATCTCTAGCTTGCATTGAATAGTTAAAAGCCTAGTGATAACTTTTAGTCACATGAAGACTCAGTTCATTTCACAATTTTAAGTTTTCTTTGAGATCGTCATTATCTTTGGAAAAGAAAAGTTTCTCAGATTTCGGTCTTAATATGTTCACTTTGTACACAACGTTTATTGAGAGGGATAAAAAATATGAGGGAAACATGTTTTCTAGGGTAGGGAAGATTAATCATAGTAAAAATATAAGAGTATTAGATAAAAACACAAATGCTAGAAGTACAGTAGAAAGAGATTACTGTGAACTTTGTACTGGATATTGTTTAAATATAACCATTTTGGGGGGGTGGGTAATACTTATTGGAGAATCTTTGGAAATATCCAGAACTTGTTTAAAGGTGGTTGCTACTTCATTAAAAATTTGAAACATGGTTGACAAGACGATTCAATGAGCTAGAAGTTACATTAATATCATGTCAAAAATGCAAACTGGGTATTAATTTTCCATCAAAATATTTAAACCTTACATTTCAATGGTGAATGAATTAAGCAATTTTCAGTTTGTTTAGTTATAGTAATTATTCCACAGATACATAGTTATCACCAGAATTTTTAACAAAAACTCAACCTGTCATCAAGTTAGTTCCAACTCATAAGCAGCCCTATAGGACAGGGTAGAACTGGCCCTGTGGGTTTCCAAGACTGTAACTCTGTATGGGAGTAGAAAGTCTCATCTTCCTCATGTGGAGTGGCTGGCGGTTTTGAATTGCTAACCTTGTAGTTAGCAGCCCACTATACCACCAAGGCTCCACCCAAAATCTCATAGTTGTGAGAAGCTGTAGAAGATTAGATTTGGGTATAGAAAAGTTCATGGAAAAATGGAATTAAAGGATATTGGAATTTCTCCATGGACTTTTTGAAGCCTTGTATACTGTGACATATAAGAGTATCTTAATAATGAATATAATGTGGAAGAAATAATCAACTTAAGATATTAAGTTATCTTTAATGATATGCCTATTTTGGGGGAGTCATTGAAAACTTTCCTGATGTTTTTAATTTATGTGAGTCATTCTCAGAAATTTTCCATTTTATTGATAGATTTTATAAAACACCAAATGTGCAATCAAGCATATATCGTAAAGATCCTATAGGTTCAATTCAGTGGTCAAACCCAACTCAATCTGAAGACATGGCCCAGTGCTTTAAAAACAAACAAACTTGAATGCCTCTAGGGAGAGAACTTCCTCCGCCAGTCTAATCACAGGAGTCTCAGTTCTCTCCTGGTGGTTCGTTCTAGCTGCTCTATTGCCTGGTTTGTGACGGCAGTTGGTTTGTAACTCCTGGTAAGTGATAGAATTTATGATTTCTTACCTTCTCTCCTTTACTAAATAAACTCCCATTAACAGTGACTCTGAAAATGCTTGCAGATTGCATGTGATCAGTTCTTCCTTGTGGAAATGCGCACAGAGATTAAGAATGCTTTTTAAGGTCAGCAGTTTCTAACGTAGGGGAAGCATGAAGCTTTGTACTCCCACAAGGACTTACAGCCTCAGACACCCACGGGGGGCAGTTCTACCCGGTCCTCTAGGGATGCCGTGAGTCAGAATCAGCTCAGTCACAGCGTTGGTCAGACACTTAGTAAACCAAGCAGAGCCAAAGACACGTTCAAATAAGATCATTTGTTAATAAATTACAGCTGCACCTTGACTTTAAATGGGGTTTTGTTCTAACAACTCCATAGAAAGTTGATTCTGCTGTAAGCCTCGTGCGTTTTTTAAAAATGATCATTATTATTGCCCGATATTATCCATATTGTGAACAGTATATCATTAAACCAAATGAGTCAATGAGTGTACATCTAAGAATGGTGACATCAGAAAACATTGTTAACAATAAGATGTGCAACTTCCCCGCTCCAAAAACATATTGTTATAAATACGGTCTGGGTGGTCTTACATATATTTTTCTTAATAGCTCAACTATGTCATAGGTTAGGGACAACCTATATTCTAAAAATGTTTATTACTTTGCTGTTTAGTCTGAATAAAAATGGCAATACATTAGTTGATTTTAAATCTAGTAAAAAGATAAAGATATCCCTTTCTACTTTGTTTAATAAATGGTATCTTTTACTGCTTTAAAATTTTTTATTGTGGGAAAATATACATGAGGGAACTTCAAAAAGTTTGTGGAAAAATTCCATTATCTTTCCATTCCATTTTTCCACAAACCCTGTGAAGGCCCCTGAATAACATAAAGCTTGCATCTTAACCACTTTTGAAGTGTGCCCTCTAGTGACATTAATTACTTCCCCAATGCTGTGCAGCCATCACCACGGTCTCTTTCCAAAACTTTCTTATCAACCCCCACAGAAACTCAGTCTGTTAAATCCTGCTTCCTTCTTCCTCTCAGCCATTGTACATAGCGTGCTATTGAAATAATGCAGCCATATGGAAATAAAAAGTTCAGCACCATGAAAGCATATAGGACAAAACTTTACATAGCCTCGCCCCATGCTCCCGTACACTTACCCATCTTGTCATGCTCCCTTAAAGTATCTGCTTTTGACTGTTTTGTAATTGTATAGTACAGTGCAACACTAAACTTTAAATTCTTTCTTTTAAAGAGGTGTCATGTAAATTAAACATTGATTTGTCTAACAAATGAAAATCCAGCCCACTGCCAGCAAGGGTTAGGGTTAGGCCTAGGGTTAGGGT